GGAGATATATATATATATATATATATATATATATATATCTCCTAGATAATCTCGAATCTAGGTCCTTTTGTTATATATATATATATATATATATAATAAGAAATACCGCGTAAGCTGTTACCCCATGGTACCCTCACTCACTCAACAGTGGTGCTAGCGCAAGCTGAGCCGTTGTGCCGCAGACGTAACTTTTTTAAATATTCAAGCCTACTAATGTCACAGCTTGAGGATCATACGAATGAATGATTCTCACTAATTTGGTGTTATACATTATTTAAATCTTAATTAATAATAATAAATAATAGTGTTAATAAAAGACTTTTCAAGCTAAAAAAAATTCCATTGAGCACATGATTATATAGTGTTCCCCCAGAATTAAGAAGAAAAATTTACCATGGAGGCTTTTAATGCAAATGCTGTTGGCAGCTTGCTCTGTTTAAATAGTTTACTGTGAGATTCGCCTGCCATTATCGCAGAAATTTAATTATATAATACGTATCTTTCCATGCCATCAATTATCAGCGAGCTTCAACAGATCGTTTTAACAAAACTAGCATCTACATAATGAAATTAACTATAGAGCAAATAGTCGAGTGTTTAAACTCGTACGACCTCTTGAACAGTTGTTAACTTGAGCTATACAAAAAGTATTAGGAAATCGTCGAGGTAAACTTGGACACAGGAAAACAAAAAAAAAAAAAAAAAAAACATAAATCAAGAGTGAATATCTATGAAAATAAACCATTTTAATTAGACGAATCGCATACTTCGGAATACTTATCGGAATACTTACGATATCCTTTATTACTTCAGAATTCGTAACTTCACATGGGTAACTTACTTTATATTGCACGTTCATACATGCATCTTCACACTTGTATACATAACTATATATCACCGGTGTTTTTTTATGAATGGCAATCAAAATGCATGTGGTCTTCTTCTAATGGTCCAACTAAATCCTCACCGTTCGCTCACCGTTCCAGCGGTATTTCTGTGCCAACTTTACTAATGGCCGACCGCTGTCCTGTAATCGTTCAAGCATCCCTTAGACTGACGCATTCTTATCAACTGCTCAGTGATCATTGATCGTCAATTTTCCAAGTAATGCCTAACAAGCGCATGCATTAAATGTTTTAGTATTGGCTTAACGAAACGCCGCTTTATATAACGAGCTCCCAAGACGATACAAAATCAGTGTGAGGGTCGCCTCTAATGTTTCTGGATTTAGCGACCAAAAATGTTTCCGGCTCACCATTTCAGGACTGGGTGTTGGAAACAACTTTGGATTCAATCGTATTCGGCAAGTGCGGCCCAACTGAACCAATCGAATGCGGGACCCTATAGCTACAAATACTTAACGTGTAGGTACTCCCAAGCTCGTACATCGTACGTACAATAATTATAGTACACAAACATAGCAAACTGGGGCACAGCTAGTTACCTACCATCTGTGTTTTCCAACGATTAAAGCATCGGAACGAATATCAATGTCCACCCGATGTACATGCGCCATAAACACTTACTCGCAGATAAGCATTATCAATTCGAGCAATGTGGTGATATCATAGGCGATGACTTGTCTTATCAAACTGTTAGTCTTACCTCGTCTTCGAGATCGGCCGCCAGTAACCGGTTATTGAGGAAACAGAACATTATCGCAAGGACAGAAGGCAGCACCAGCAGGAAGACAAACATATACCATTGTCGTCGAATAACGTGGACTCGTTTGAGGAACAATACGCGAAACTGACCCAACCATAAAGGCCATCCAAAAGTTCTATTGAACTGAGGGAACCGATCTGCGGAACGGTAAAAGGCAACGTCCATAAACAGATCTACACTTTAGAGAGAAACACGGGTGCACATGTATGATAGATTTCAACAAAGCTTAACAAAAATCGTAAACGTGACACTAACAAAGTTAGAAGCAATTTAGGTTCACCTAGGATTTCCTTTTTCTTAATTGCAATGCCATGTGACAACCGCGCACTATCAGTGGATAGTAAACATAGTTGCCTTAAGAGCATTAAAACAAAAAATAAACCCAAGTGAGGAAGCAAAAGAGGATTCTACCAAATCTCGTCGCGGAATGGCTGTTTGATGCATCTTCGTGTCCCTGATCAAGCTCGCCGACGCGAAGGAAGACATCTTCCATCGTCGTTACGGAAACGCCAAAACTGGCAATCTGCAACCGAGACGACTTGTTTAACTCTAGGGCAGAAAAATAGGTTAGGGTAATTTTTCAAGTAAACGTTTCAAGGTAAAAGCTATTAGTTTAGCATACGCGCTTACCTTAAGGTTGTCTTTATTTTCTTCGATGTATCGGAAGAGTTTTACTAGGTGCGCCGTTTCAGGAAATGCAACATTAACGCAGAATTCTAATCCAAGGTCGGACGTTAAATAAACCTATTCGGGAAAGTGATAGAGGTGTGGCACATTTGTATATACTACGTGACAAGCATCTGTTTATCTCGTCCACGGACAAGCTGTGGCACGAACGTGCGAAGTTATCATTGTAGGAGCTTATGAGCAACTACCACGACACCAAATAGGCTGTTACTCAAGAGAAAAGATACAAATAGTTTAGACAATTCTCTCTTGTTTGTTTACGTTTTCTAAGATAGTAGAATATTGTCTTGTTAAATGCGTAGAGATCTATGAATTAGTAAGCACGCAAAAGTGAGAGTTTACCGGATTATCTCTGAGAAAATCCTTCATGGTTCCCACGACTTTTTCGACATCGGTTTCTGAACTAGCTTTAGCGCAGCGTATATTGTAACCCGTCTCTGGAACCAATCCGTGCAAAAACCATACCATTTGAATTATCTACTTTTAATTATGGATTGACGGCTATTTAAGGTTTTGTCTTTTTTTACTATGGTAATATATATTACAATAATCATGTAATTTCAAGCTGTCCACAGGTACGCAATCGTTTTATGTCTGAGAAAAAAAGTTCGCCTCATACAGGATCGCCCATTTTCTATCCTTATGAAAAACTCTTCAGTAAAGCGTTGTTTGGGCAAAGCGTCCGAACTCTGAATAACTGTGTTTCAAGGAAATGGTTTTAACCAAGGTTCAACAACAGCTAACTAATGACACAACCACATCTTACCAAATTTCTTCTTTAGGAACATCGGTGACCCAGCGCATTTAAGCTTGCCACTTGAAAGAAAAGCTATTCGATCACCTAATACATCAGCCTCTTCCATGTAATGGGTGGTCAATAGAACTGTTCGGCTGCGACGCGCCTGAAAATTAACGAAGGCCATACACTCAGTTAAGCGCAACGGAGAGTCCTGCCGTGCGCGCCTACCGCTTGCCGCTGTTACCTGTTAAGAGTATCATGTAATCGGCTTTCTATCTGCTACTATTTTTTCTACTAAAGTTTTCGAAACTTTAAACCACAGTCCATGCCTAACAGAATCGGGTAACTGAACATTTTCTTTAAGGCCCTTTTTTAGGACGATGTCTCCCATTGTAACAAGCTCCGCGCGAGTTTCGTCGCTTACTTGGAAGCCAAATGCCACCTTTACGTCCTTCGATAATGATTTCGTAGTAATCCCGTAGTAATGCTTAGAGAAAGCTGGGGACTACTGACAAGTACAGTCTATGGCTTATTTACCGTTCTATATACAAACGTCTAATTTGTAGACTACTGCATGTTTTTTGCTCACGACGTCTTAAGCAGACCAGTAGCTTTTTGTCGATCAATCGTCCGAGAAATACGCCGCGTCTCGGACTTCCTCGTTCGATGTTTTTCTACTATATGACATCGATGAGCCCTGGGTGTGCCGCCCCACTCAATGGTTCGGTTATTATTTTGATAAAAGTTTGCAAGGCCGACTGCAGAATAGCCGATGTTACATAGTGACAGCCCCTGGTGCAGAATCAACATGACCTCATTGGCGGACAACATGATCTGCTGCGCTAATTACTAGCGAATCGCGTCTTGATGTTAAAAGACAGAGGGCCCAACCACATCTAGTTCTTTACTGTTTATCACATCAAAAGAAAAAATTTTCTTGAAAAAAAATATATGCTGCCAGAATTCTGTCGACAAGGGCATATGACTTGTTCTCGTGATGGTGCTTAGTGAAGTTAGGGACACTCAATGAGGTAGTTCGAGCTCGAAACTGAGCGTAAGCACGAATTCAGCCGCCTGAAGCAGTTATCCTGGCTGTAGAACTCAAAGAAAGAATTTTTGTTCAAAAAAAAAAAGAAGACAAAAAGAAAGTCTTTTTTCAGAGATACTAAGATAGTATTGAGATACCTGAGCTTGGCTCAGTAAACTATTTCTAAAACATTCGTTCGATTTTCCCTGGCTTCCTCGGACACCAACCGTATGCTTTGCTTTCACCGTGACCCATTAATTTTAGATTATTTTTTTATATTTTATTATTTTTTTTCATGTATTATATATAAAAATAGACCTAGTCCAATTTGTGAAAGCTTTCGGCAGTTCCCAGGGAGGGATCTTTATCAGTTTAGGTTGACGGAACAACTTATGTCTTAACAAGCGGTCTTCATCTTATTCTTGACAAATCTGGTCCATACTAAGGATATTTAAGCGGTTATAATATTTTTTCCTACTTTTTTAAAATACAACTTAAACATTTTACTAAGAAGCGTAACAAATCACCCTATAAACCAAACCCAGTTGACATGATAGTAAAGTAAATCCTAACAAAGGAAACCTTGTATTGTACTTTACTTCTTGTAAAATTGTCCAGACGTCGCGTCGCGCCTGGGGATCCATGCCAGCTGTCGGCTCGTCTAGTACAAGGATCTGAAATTTAAGTTACGGTTGTTAATATAGCCCACTGTAGAATGGATGAGTTACTCTTGTAGCCATCGTTGGTTATTTAGGATGGCCATCTAAACAATTAAATTTAAGTGAGAATCAGTGTGTTCTTCTACTTTATACAAATTATCGATTTCCGGGCATCCCGAACCTCGAAAATCGTATATACTATTATATGTATATATCTCAACAAGCGTAAAGGCAATTACAATAAAAAAAAACACATTTAAAATTAGTATTAATTGTGCATGAAATGAAATAGTGACTCTGCGTAGCAAATACGTTATATTTACAAGTAAATTGAAGCTTACACAATTTAACTGTTCCCTTTTTCTTAGACGTGCGTGTGTATGAAATCAAAATCCATGTACATAATACATATAAATCGATTTACTATCAATTTTAGAAAGTGGAATACCACTTTATACCACGTTATATACCACTTGCGAGTGTATATAACTGTACAACAGTTATGACTGGCTGTCGCGGCGATGTTTCCCGAAATCGGGCATCTACTGTATCAAATTAACCAGAAACTTCACAAAAGAAATGTTGAAGTTTCTTTCTTTGAACATAATATATATTAGAGTGTTCCCATATTCTCGGTGGAGTTCCCAACGGGCGCGAACCTTTTGCAGCGGGTGGAGGCGGCGCCATCCTTGTACGAATTAACATTCACCTACAATGAAGCTGTTCAGGATCCCATACTACTACTACTACCCATATGCCCTTCTGCCGTTACAATTATGCACGACGCTTACTTAGGTATAAATTTGATCTCCTTTCCCTTCCAGAAAGACCAAGTTAGCGTCTGAGATTAATGCTATGCATAAAATACATTTCCTTTCCGCATTTATTTGATTTGTTAGCTTGGATTATGTAACTCAGTGACTGGTTATTTCCGTCAAGACAATCTCGATTCAGACTAGCATAAACGTTCTGAGTTTCTCGGACTAAAGCATATCGGATCGGGTCAGTCGGATTTCGTGTAGTCTGGTAATGCGTCAAGCAATTAACAAGTCTTTTGTTAAGCCCTCATCGTTTCCAAGCTATACTAGTATAGAGCCCTAAACAATACTAAGACAGTCTTTAGTTTGAACAGGGAGCAATCCAATCATACTATTTGCGGTACTATTTACTTTTTCGTTTAGCTTTCGCCTCCGCTTGGGCCCAGCATTCAGTTTGATAAAAAAAAAAAAAAAAGATCATGTGTAATCAGCTTTTGTTCAAGCCAAGGTCAGCACAGAAGTTAATGAAAAAATTAGAGTGTGTACAACACAACTTGGTCAGTGTCTTTTCACTTAATTAATTAAGTTTATTAGGACTTCCGCACAACCTACCCAATTAGAGATTTACACGTATGCATCTCCTAATTAAAATATTCAACTTACATCGCTTCCACCGATCATGGCGTTTGCCATACAGAGCTTCCTCTTCATTCCGCCAGAAAGATGACGGGCCTGTACATGTCTTTGAGGCAACAGAGCAAACTTCATCAACAGCATCTCAATTTCTGTCGTTGTTTCCTTTTCATTTGCACCTTTCGGAAAAATAGAAGTTAAATTTTATTTATAGGACAATAGTTTTTTTTTTTTTAAATATTGCTTCCTAAGGGTGAGCAAATTATGACTGTAAAGAGGCATTTTTGACTTGCATTAGCTTTGTTATAGTTTGCTGTAATGTCTATATCAACGTTCGTTTACGATAAAGTAATACGTACAGATAGTTTAGGCTTATATTTACAAAATACAAAAAAAAAAACGATAGGGAGATTTCTACCTTCTAGCTGATACGGAAACGTTATGTGAGGGCCTAAAGGACACTGAAGGAACTAATAAACACTAAGCAAGGAGTCGAATTTAGCCTGATCATAAGAGTCAACTAAAGATCTTGCATCACACATTGATACCACCAGATTCAAACAATAAGATTTTATAATTGAGAAATAAGCGAAATATTGCTTCTGCCGTCCATGAAATTTTTGTTCCAATAAGAACTATACTATTGCTCAATGTACGATCGACTACCTTTGATTAAGGCAAAAAATTTTAGATGCTCTTCAACGGTAAGGTCGTTGAATAGAACGTTGTGCTGGGGACAGAACCCCACGCCTCGACGCGCCTTAGCCGTATCTGTACGCACACTGTGACCATTGATGTACATTTCGCCGGCAGTGGGAAGAAATAATCCTGTAAGTATGTTCATTGTTGTTGTTTTGCCGGCGCCATTATGACCGAGAATCACTGTGATCTGGTTACGGTACAAATCAAGCGATAAATGATCAATGGCCTTTTTTTGCGACGCGTCGAACCGATGAGAGATGTCGCGCAAGACTATGACAGGATGCCCAATATTGACCGGAGGCGACTCAAACATCGCAGCTTGACTATTTTGGGCTTTGCTTGTCGAGCTTGTGGTCTTGGAGCTGTCAAAGGAACTTGATTGAGGACACCAATAGGAGCGTTGAAATACAAATAGTGGATGTTTAGGTATGCCAAGTTGCCACGGAATGACGGCATCGAGGTAGAAGATCAAGATTGCGAAGATGATCCAAGATAGTAACATCATGCCCATGATGTCCAGTAGTGAGCAGTTATCACCTGCTTGTGCAATCATTCGCACGTTTTTCCAGTGAGCGCCGATACCTGGAATACAACCAAAACAATCAAAGCGATCTATTCCCTTATTTGCTTGATTCGATGAAGTTTCTCACCTTAAGAAGCAGCGTCTCCCTTACAAAGACACTAAAACGCTCTTCAATTAGAGAGACTCGGAAAGCCGAAGCAGCAGAATTCAATAGGTTAACAAAAGAAAACACATTTCACTGGCCATTCAGTCGTCGGAGTTTAACAGCCCTTTCCAAAAATTGTATACCCAGAGACATGGCTTTCTGCCTTAGGACAAAAGCAGTACCTACAATAGAATAAATACAAAGCAAAACAAAGCGAAAAACAAGCCAAGACAATGGCTTCTAAAACCATCTGACCATCCTGCTAGTTCAGACATGTTTGTCGGAATCAAGAAGTTATTCAATTAAAGGAAAAAAATACAAACCTAAAGAACACCTGCTTGACAAATACGGCACCGGTGTCAGTGCCAACATGCACCTAGCACCGCACTTCCGTAACTATGTCAAAAAAGAGCAAACGGTTATCATTGTCTCTTATTTTCGTAAATAGCGCGGCTGGATAACGATTAGATGAAGCGATTGGATGAATATAAAAATCTATACAAAACTGTTGTTTAACTAATGAAGGGTCGGTTACTTTGGCTTCTGGTACCAGACGGCATGAAAATTCTCAGAGATGGAATGCTAAATGTTCTAAACATTTCTAAGTAGTAGCGCACAGATCTCCGGGCGGACCCTTCCCATCTTAAAGAGACCAACTAGTTTGCATAATCTTATAGGCAAAGTCTGAAAAAAAAATTGGGGTTCTTCCAAAAATGTTCGCTACCAAATTTTGTCAAATTCGTCTCTAATTTGAGTCCGTTAGCTTCAACAGCTGGTTTCAGTGACGGCGCACAGAGCTACGCTCTTTGTCATGGTTCAGAAATTTTATAAGCTCTATTTTTCAGCATCTGATAGCTTGAATATAAACCGTTTATTTTGTGCTATCAAAATTCAATTTGGACTCATTGACCCAACGCTAATTCTTATTAGTGATCACGTAAATGTTAAAATTCACTCTTACTGGTAACTGGTAGTTGACTGGTAGTCAACAACACGATATCACAATATGAGTAAGTATTCATCATATTAAGTTATGAGTCAACACGACGATTTAAATTACTGAAACTGGTTTGCCAGGTGCCATAAAGGTGGCACAGAAGGACACCGAGCGAAACGCATGTGAAGCACTAGAATGTATCGTCAAGTCAATGGAAACCCGGTTTTTTGCAAAGCCTATGGTGGAAGCCAGGCACGGCAAAGCTGATCACAACACGTCTGTTTAGTTCTCGTTCGTTTCTACTCGTTCCCCATCAAACCCTATGTAAAGAAATCGCTATCGATCTCCGCAAATTTTTACTCATTTGCTAATGGTTTTGTTGCCGCGAGCTCAAAGCAACGCCGCAGGACAGCAGGGGCAGATTGGCTAGGACATGAGCAGGACAATTTCGGGTCTCTATGTGTAGTCCCGGTGATTTTTTGAGACAGGAAACTTTAGGCGATTCAAGTATTCAAGGTTTCCTACTGTAAAATCCCCAGATGAGGCGTATCTCATACCTTGTGATCGGAGCTACTTCAAGGTCGAGAAAATAGAACATTTGCAAGGAAGGAACGATGAAACAATTTGATCTCCCACGCGATCAGCACTGCCTTCCTACCGTCCACTCAGAAGAGTAACTACATAAAACAACGTTACTACATCAAGAGGCGATTTTGCGACGCATAAGGTATCAATGGCCGCTATCCTGTTTTTCCTTTCGTTTGGGTTACGGTTAATTTTAGATCTGTGTGGACTGTCGTGTGGAGACTAGGTAGAGTTTAGCACACTCGAAACCTCTTCAGCTCGTATATCACTAAATCGTCAGCGTAAAAAATAACTGAATGAATTTCTCGGTCCTATCATTTGCGCGGGAGAGAAGCCCCTCAAGCAAGAAAAGGGTAAAAGTAACCCCTATAAAACCTATATATATCTATATATAAAAACCTCTCTTCGTTATAGATGGTTGGTTAATCTGTCCTCCTGAATAATTGCAGCGAAAAGGTTAGGTACATTTATCGAGACACCTGTTTCAGCCAGCGTGAGTCTAAGTTTGTTGTTGGCCACTAAGTTGAAAGCTGCCCTAAAGTTAACGAACACCGCATATCGCTTTCAAAGCCATCAAAATCCTCCACGCTGTTTCTGTGGAGCGTTCCCTCTTTAACCTGTACTGCGCCTTTCAATTAGTTATCCAGTAAGTTAGCTGGTAAGCCGGAAAGAAGTTTATGACAAATACTATTCCTTGCTGTTTTTTACAATAAGAACGACGTGGTTAGGTGGCCATTTTCATTAAGAATTTTTTCGCTGCTGGGAGTGGTCACGAAAGCCCTCGTCTGCGCCTTGAGCGTTTCCGTTGTAACTTCGATCGTGTACCTCACTGTGCAAGAAATTTGATGCAAACATAATCACTGCTAGTCCTCTTGTGTATGCGACACATGCGCATATTAGGCTGTTGCAAGCGAACCCGGCTTTTGATCTCACTGAGCTGGAATGATGGTTTTGTAATATGTAGTCAATTGCTGTACCAACAGTTGTTTTTTGTGTTTTCTTCAAAAACTCGATATAGCAGAGTGTATCGATTGTTTCGTTTTACGGCGATTACTACAGATGCCCCTAATGTCCATTGCAAGTACTGCCATTACATTACGTCTGAACCTGTTTGACACTGCACGGAATCGGAACCCGATTTCTCTCCATAGAACCATGCCTAACCTATGCATAGTCAGTTTTTTTTTTAATAAAAAACTTTTTATAAAAAGTCCCGTAAATTGTACGTCGAATACATCGAACGCATTCACGGGGGACCTGCTCTTCCTCAATTTCGGAATTTTAGTTCTGGAAGACGTTACATGTGAAAGGCCTGTTTTGGCTGACAGAACCTCAACAGCAGAACACCCAAGCTCTTGTCTTCGTGAGAAACATCTGGCCACCTCCTCGCTAGGCTTCAGCACTCCAATGTCCGATCTTTCGATATGTTCACGATTAACTTACTGTGCTTTTCTTGTCTTCATAATTCTTTATCGAAGATTTCTGCAGCACTGTGATTTTCGAGGTACGTAAGCTTAATCATTGTTTAAAGAGCATTTTGAGATTTTTTTTTAACTAACTTCGCCTAGAGAAAGCTCACTTATAGTTTTTAGAAGCAAATTTTTGTCTGCTAGCGATACGTAGTTTAAAGGCTATTCAATTTCGGAAATCCGCCGGATTCGTTTATAGTAGCCTGATCATGGTTAGTGGCCTGCTCGGAACATGGTAGGCAAAGTCTTCCTTTAGGCTCGACGTCATCGCCTCTTATAAATATTCATGTCGATATAACTCTACAGAACTTCAGCTCATAATGACTACTTTCTACTTTTTATACATATGCATATATGTCTTCCTATTGTAATTGATTGTTCTATATCTCAAGCATTTACCTAAAATAGGATGTAACAGAACAAAGAACTGTGCCCGATGCATAGACAATCGTTATGAGCTGCAGTTCTGTAGAGTTATATTGATACTTCTTAATTCTAATCAATTACTTTGCACTTTTTAGACAGATGTTTGGAATAAAAGGTGGTCAGTTGTGGCCGGAAGAAATATACGCATATATATGCTGCTGCTGCTGCTATTTATACGGCGACTTGGAAAGCGAGATCTTCGGTTAACAGAGACCAGAGCTTGTACTTTAACGACACACATTTGCATTATTGCATAGTTCTAGCATAGGCTAAAGGAAATGATGATTTGTATTATTATTATTATATTATTATATATTAACCTGCTCGCTCCCAAAAGCTGATTATTTTGAAGGCCCAATAGAGGCCACAGGTGGGCAGAAATGATGTGTACATCTTCTTTTCCGCGCTGAGCGATCCGTAGAAGTTTCGTCCCGGTGGATCAAGAAAACTAGACGCGGTTACAATCGACGCGACCCATGCTAACAGCGCAATGATTGCACCAAGTATTGCTGTAAATCGACAACGGCATATTTACTCTACATGCAAGTATCCTCTCACAGATAATAGGTAATTATAATACACGATAGGTTCGAGCCTTGATCCTCTTTTTTTAAGTTCTCTAACTTCCTTTATGGTGTTGATGTGTCAAGTTGCGCTTGAAATGCTTACCTAAATACCTAAAAAAGCACTCAGTTCTTTATTGGTTTGCTAGTTACGTTGCAATGGAATATATCAAACAATGCATTGTTGCTATTATAGAATAACCACTGAACAATTAGCGAAGGGGTAATACGGGACTCACGTGAGTTAACGAGAACGCTAATGAAAAGGTTTTGAAGAATAGTTCCAATACCGAACAGAACCAGCACAGCTAAAACGAGCGAACGATCCGAGTGGGGTAAGACGGATATGTCGAATGAGTCAAAAAAACAGAATACTGCCTGCACGAAGTAGAGAGGAACACATCGTAAATACGACTAAAAATGCTAGAACACGGTACTATCGATATGTTATCGTATCGTGGACTAATTAAATGTTCCCATATTTTCTCTCATTGATAGGAACGAATTATAGGTTAGCACGTCCTTTATTTATCATAGAATTTCATTTCCTTGGTAAATAGGGACACCGCGCTCAGGGGCACAGTTAGCACAAAAAATAGTTCTATTGTTTTTTCTTTGTAGAAATCTCTTTAGTTAAGTTTAACGTTAGTAAGTTTGTTTGTTTGTTTGATACTAGCTAGTTAGAACATTAGTCACGCCATGAGATGTATCTTCAACATCCCGGACAGAATGTTCACACGGCTCCCCAAACTGCGCAACATCTCAACCCGGATAATCTATTTACCTTGACAAGGACCATCGATTTCCAAAAGACTCTCCATCTGGCATTTCTCTTTCTTTACAAACGATAACGAATATTTGTTAGTAACTTTCTAAGTCTTCTGGATGGTCAAATGCCATATACTGTGCACGTACCAAGGTCATCAGTATAATGATGCCAACTGAGACACAGCCGATACAAAAAAGATTAGTCCAGTAGACAAGATCCGACATGCCCATCATACGCAGCAGCTCCTACAATTATCACAAGAACAAGAAAGACGATAGGAACGTTCAGCGATATGTAGTAAACAAAACGATAATGAAAAGGCATTAGGAAGGAAACGTTAGGCGATCTTGCAAGACTAATCCATGCTATGACGTCATCGACGGATGTCAGCCTATTGGCCCTTAAATACTAAAGGTTCTGGGCAAAGAAACTAGGGATTTCAGGTTCAAATTTCGTGATGCTGCATATATGTGCATACATCTCCTACATAACGTGAACCTGCATACCCTATTCCCTTATGTTTCGAGTTTTACGTCCCGTACAGCCGTTAGGCACTTCATCAAACGGCTGTCTGATGTGGTGAGTCTGACCGCTTACTAGGTTACATATTTGCCTTCTAACCTTTAGGTGCTAGCAGCCAGCTAGCCGCCTGGTTACGTACCTAACGGCGATTCCAGGCATAATTCGAAACAGGACAGTATTGCTTTGTTTAAACTGTAAACTTCCGCACTTACGGTACTTTACCCAAAGTATCATAAGTGTGGAAAGCAAGACGTTGAAACAAAAAAAATCTAAACATCTACAGAAGGATTCGTAGTTCAACAAAACATAGTTCAAAGGACAACAGAATTGCAAGAAGGTTAAGCGCGGAATAAACGTTTACCATGAGACTAGCGCTTATGCCTACGGGTGTCCGCTAAGCCAGCCTTTTTTCGGACTAAATACTGTAAGAAGCAACTCAAAGAATGGCTTCACTCTTTTACTATTATTCTGTTATTTTTTCTATTTCTGCCTATTTTGCTTTTAATGTTCATCGACATAAGCAGTGGCCGGTGATATGCTAACATGTTAGAAATGACGAATAGAGACGGAACCGGAAATTAATCACCACCAGCAGTCGCTCAAACAAAAAAATTATATAAGTTATTACAAAATTATTATAAATTACAATAATAATAATACGGACAGTACTAACAAGTACTATAACACAAGTTCAACTTCTCCATTTTAAACTGAAACTACACACATCGTTGTCCACGCTTGACTTTGCTCGAGCTCTCTTGGGCTATCTAATCTCAAAAACAGCCAGCCAGCCCGAAACAATTCTTAGTGAACATTTGTATTAATTAGGTGATACCGAACAAGGTTTTAGTTTCCGTCCATGGACATTTTCATAAATTAACTTCGACTTTAACTTCGGCTTCAACTGACTTTGTTGCTGTGAAAGGATAAAATGTCGAATATATCGTTTGTTATCTCCTTTTCACTCACGACTTAATCCGATTCCGTAATTGTTGACCAAAGAATTGTCAAAGAGGCAAAAAACCAAATCGTACGTAACGCGCAATTACTTAGGCTCTTGTCCAACAAAAATCTACATTTTCCTGAACAGTCCTATTTTGTGTCTGTCACTTACCCGTATACGACTATGTTTGTCCTGAATTATTTGTAACGTAAAGAAGAGCACGAACAAAATACACCCAAACGAAATCATCGAAGGCACAAACGTGATAACGCTTAAAAATGTATCATCTTTTAGATACCTGAACGAAATTACATAAAAAAAAATTAGCGCTAGAGTTAGGTTGAGAGTGACAAGCCAGACATGACGAAGATAATTAAGAAGCTCTCAAACATCTCTGAGTGTTATGTTAAATTATAGCCATAGATGACACTGGATATTGAGATTTTTTTTTAGATGATTATTATCAAATATTATAAATACTATCGTACTAGGCATTACAATTCCATGCAAGACAATGTTCACGTTTTGCAGAAAAAAATCGTAGCTCTGCACGCACCTCGGGGTAGGAAACGGTTTCATTTTTGGATTGTACGGCAGCCAGTCGGCAGATACTTCAATACCGGAGTGCTTGCGAAGATTATAGAACTCAAGATGTTTATCGAACAGAGCGTTCATGCTGGGAAAGAGAAGATACCTTTCCTGGAAGATAAACCAAGAAGCGACAACATTCTGAGCTCTCTTGCATTTTTCTACAGCCATTTGTTTACTTATGAAATAGCAGAACTTGTAACTCACTATTTTATGCCGAAGTAATCCAAGCCCTCTACGATATATGATACCGACTAATAAATAAGTGGAAAACAAAGTTGAAAAAATGTTGAATTTCCGTGATAAGTGCTTACTTTGTATGACATTTTTCCCAAATGTGATATGATGATGACTGCTTTTTTTTCCCTGCGTATCAGCTAAATTTCTATTCAGAAATAAGCATATAAGGACCCTCTTTGGTCGCGTTTACCTCAAAGCTAATATGCTTGCTTCTCGGGCCCCCGCCCGGTGGATCCGGGTTAAATTTCCTTCCAGTGTTAAAGTGCCACCTGCTTGAATTAAAGCGGAACATGTATCCCAGCAGGCCTGGATTATCACCCTAAAACAGCAGTAACGTACCGATATTGAGTACCACGTTTCACTGTAACTTATGGCGACTCATGTTAGCGATACGACGACAGAAATCAAATGCTTCGTAAAACATGTGGATGATTTAGGACCCACTGCAGAAAAAGATTAGTTCTGTTCTTCGATCAGTACGCGAAACTTCTGTAGTTCTTTATTGCTATATCAAGTTCTATAACAGGACTATACCGAAATCCTGGAAGAAAACTCAGTTGTAGTCAATTCTTATTTGGACTAATCAAACATGAAGAGCATTTTAAGAAGGACTAGTCAAGTTAAACTCTTTCCCTGTTTATAATAACTTTCACAGAAGTTGTTATTGCAAAAAAAAAAAACAATTCACAAATGTTAGATGAAGCTCCCCCTAAAATGGTCACTATTTCGTAATTTGACGTAAATTTACTTGATCCGTTTAATAACTATCACATTGTTTTTTCTTCAACAACGCTTAAAATCAAGTTCATTAAAAAGAAACCACGGACCATTTTGTCGCACTTCTTTTGAAAGTTCGAACACCGTACAATGTGCACGCTAGACTTGTTTCAGAAATCATCGATGAACAGCCTAAATGTAATTAAAAAGTAACGGGTCCAGTTTGATCCTTTATATCAATTTTAAGAAAACACTTATTTGTATTTAATTTAAAGGATCAAACCGGATCCATCACTGATATGCTTTTTTTAAAGACTTTTACACAAGCCACAGGTCTACCTATGCACATACATACTAATATTGCTTCATGATCGTGATTTATAAAATATAATAATAACAAATAAAAAAGAATAATAATGAAGAACCACAGGAAAAAAACGTTTCTTATTGTGGAAGCACTCGTGTTGATCAATTAAAAGAAAGAGGTCACTCACTTTGGCCGTATCTTCGTCAAATATGATGGCGAGATCAAGGGACACGTTTATACTTAACAAGTAGTCATCGAGCTCCTCTACGGTTTCGAAAGGTGTGATCACTGAAGAGGCCGAAATAACAAATGTCTTTATCAGAATTGAAGTGTATGATAGATCTTTCAAAGCCATGTATAGGCTCGACTGCGCTACGTCTGAATTTGGCAATTAGTCGATTTTTTCACATTTAATAACGGAAATTATTTTGAACAATTGAGAAGTGTGTTTTCATACCACAGATCCGAATTTACAATTAGCTCAATGAAGTTCCTTTACATGTTTAGTCAAAAATATTGAAAACAAGGCTTAAGTTTTAGTAGTAATAAGCAGCAACCGGTACTTAACCTGTTTTTTTTTGTGTTATTATCGTTATTCAAAAGGTGACGTTCAGGGTGGCCATCTTACCTCTGGAACTATTCGCCTTAAGGTAAATCTTCATCAGTGAGTCCGTGTAGGTCGTCCGAGGGGCATAGGCTACCCGACCACAGTCCACCTTCAGAACTTGCTGTATCTAATCCCCATGTGCATTGAGCATTACATCGTTACATACAAACACACATGAAAAACGGCTCTGCGACTTCGAAATCATCGTTAAGAGCGAACGCGTCTAAGATTCAATAGCGAGGATACAGGCGTTACTTATGAAAGGAGTCAACCACTGGACTCATCGGCATAATCTAGCATAAATAAACAATATTCTGCACCAATTACGAAACCGCCAACTGATACACTGTTCCATATAAATAATTGGCATGAAAAAAAGAACGTTAGCTTTGATATATCTATGAGAGGAAATCTAAGCACTCGTTGTAGGCAATTTTCGTTCTCATTCTTTCATTTTTTTGTTCGTTTGTTAGCTGTCCCAGATGTAGAACAACAGTGATGAGAGATGGTATCTTTGTTATATTTATTTTTTGCACACTTCTCAGTGATCTAAGCAAACCCAATTTCAACTAAATACTAGCCGCTTTAGAAAAAAATAAGCTTATACCTGAGTCTCCTCTGTTGGCGCTCTGGTAAAGCGGTGAAAGTAGATATCTTCACTAGAAAAAGGACCAAGTGTACTGTACGTGTTAGGTCCACTCCACATTAGTACTAGGCCTTCATGTCCGGTATCAACTTTCGATTGCAGATAAACGATGACCCCTAACGAAAAATTCGCACAGGTGTATTTCTAAGATAACTGGGCACATAAACAGGAATTAGCTTTCGCAGACACTTTGGCATATTCTTGGAAATACAAATAACTATAATACTGCCCAATAAACCTTTTTTCTTTTTATTATGGAAGTGGAAAAGCCATCTTTTCACCTATCAGAAACGCAGGCAGGATTAACTCAGTAGCCGACCGAATGTAGTGCCGCTTCCATTTTCGAATTATAAAGTCTTTTCGGAAAAGTGCGCTGAACTGACGGCACAAATTTCTTAGACCTTCGTTTCCGCATGGAACTGCGGATGATGGCAATTTCACAGACGGACCGTCGCCCGCGCCGTCAATGGTTTCAACGTACATCGGCTTCCCACCTGCGCTGGCTTGCTCATGCAGAAGCCTGTAGAAAACAAAACCAATGTTACAACATCATAGAATTACAATATATGTTGAAAACTTCGTGATGAAAAGTTCGTCATCGGATTCAAGCTTTCTTCGCAACGCTTGTTTATAGCGGCTGGCTTACAGGGGTCGGTGCGACCTCATTAAAGATCACTAGGAACTTCCGTCGAACTGGTAGTCATAAAAACAAAAGCCTTCGTGGATATTTGTTTTGACCTACGAATAGTTATGTCCAGTTGCGGCATTGGGTCCAGCTGCTCGTGTTCAACTCATTATAGAGTGAAAATGAAAAAAGTTTTTCGTGTTGTACTGTCGTTGGCGAATGTTATTCAAATGTGTGTATATGGTATCATAGTGTCTCCGTTGGCAGTCCCGTCCATAAAATAGACTGACCACGCAATGGCAAAGTAATTAATTCACGTGGCACAGAAGAATGATTTACATCGAGCTCGCAACGTATCTACCGTTACCCATCGAAAATATTAATATGCACCATCATGCGCCCAAGCAACGAAAAAAAAACAGGGTATATTCTAAAAACCCAATTGTATCGTGAACGTTCAGTAGAACTGCGGCCTGGTAAGAATGTTTACTCATTACCTCAAAAAATTATATTTTCAAAATATGGACGTCTACTGAAGCCACTTGGCTTGAATACCGACAACTGCAATTTGTCCTACGGCCTTGAACAGCATTTCAAATGTAACTTGCACATCCCAAATTTGCGTGTTGTCCTTCGAATACAAAGATTTTTACGTCTATTTACGGCAAACGGCCGCCGCGCTACGTTATAGTTAGTATTCAACTTTCCTGCGACTTCTCTTCGGAGAGCTGTTCGTTGATAAAATACCATTTATTTGCCTAAATTGCCTCTGTCTCCCTGATTTCTGACCGCTTGCGGTATGTACATGAGAGATAAGCTCTTATAGAAACAAAAAAAACACTTGTCACATAACTATATATAGCCCCTGGCCCGACCGATGCACTTAATAAAATGTTCTTTTTTTCAAAAGGCAGAAGATTTTGTAAACCTTGTCATCATCTAGTCCGACTTCGAGACGCACTACACTGAAACAAAAGTTTGGTAAGTGTTATATATATAAAAGGTAAGTATCCCCATTCGATAAGACTTTTTCGCATACGAATCCAGGTAACTATAATATTCCATGTCTAATATTTTGACAATTTGGCACTACCTTATGACAGTGGATCATGTCATTTGAATGGATAACATAATGTAGATATATGTATCATACTACGGAATGAGACATTTGAATAATTATAAGAGAGCATTCAAGAGAAGCTTGGAAGAACCGTCGTAACAACGACAAGTTGACGATTTGATGTATTCTTACAAAAAACGTTTTGAGAATAACAAATAGGTGGGAAGCCTTGGAGGACGGCAGATCTGCAAAAGTTGACACATGAAGTTCAACACATGCAGCAGGTGATCTGGACAATATAATCTAAAATACTCATATGCACCCATTTGAATAAATTTGTAAAATAATCAGAGTATCCTATTCTTTTGAATAGAACTTTGCTCAATCTGTCCCAGACTCTACAGTTACAACTACCCGACCAATCGAGAGTTCCTGTACCATTTCGTTAGGCACATTTTAGGCCGCTGATTAGGTACTGGTCGTAAGCCTTGCGCAGATCTGGCTGTTGACTGATATTGAACTAGATATTGATAGACATAACGAACCTGCCGCTCGATTGAAGAGGGTTGTTGTTCTCCGCTATTTGCTATAGTTATACGCAAACTCTGTACTTATTGTGCTAAGAGGTCGACAAAATCGAAGCTACCTTGGGCATATTTCAACCGAAGATGTTCGTGGTTGCAATAACTACGACAAATAAGGAGTCTGGTATTTGGGTACGGAGTATTACAAGAGTAGAAATCATGAAAATGAACAGGAAATGGACTTTCCAGACCCAGATAAACAATGCCCGACCCCGGCAATCGATAACCTCGGAGCTTGATCAAGCGAACATTTGTACTCGGTTCATCGATCATCACTAGCAAAAAGGTGCCCGTCGACGTACCAATAATAAGCTTGACACAGTTCCCATAGCAACCATAGCCTTCCACGCATAGCCCAGCCGTTCGCTTATCTATTGTATAGTCATTCTAAACACAGTACTGTGTTTAGAATGACTATGCACCGGTTTCCTGATTCGAGTAAGTATATAGCTCACGAGGGAGCGCAAGCACTTTTTTTGCCTAGACAACAACCTACACCACTGTTGGCTGTCTTTCGAAACGTGTCTGCCTAATGCCTGCTTGTCTTAATCAATATGACGATTAAGTCTTCTGCTCTAAGAAACCATTAGAATTAATTGAACGCTGGACGAACATTCGAAGGAACCGTTTACTAGACTTATATATATAGTATTGAATAAATCACAACAAGCCTACCTCCGACCAAAATGTTTAATAATTAAAACGGCGTTTGGCGCGATATCTCGTTCCTACGCAAGAGAACAATACAAGCTATGAATATAAGTGACATGTACCGTTAAGGCTACTAACAATCAAGGTTCGGAGCTAAGCCCCGACTGAACTCCATTGTTGAATATAACGGTACGGTTAATGTTCAAAAAAATTCCTGCTCTTAACTTGTTTTCAATCCAGCTTACAACTTCCCATTGCATAGCAACAGCATCGCCATAATGGTTACCACTGAACGTAAACTGTCCGAAAACCAATTGTATTCGTTCATTCATTATACGTCCGCTCTTGCGGTTGTTCGACGCTCGTTAGGTGTTTTTCTTGTCACCGTTAGCCCGTTTTGATTCTTCTTTGAAATGGGAAGTCCTGCCAACTACCGACATCAGCAGATCGTTTGCTGAATTCTCGACTCCATTTTTAAGACAAGCACCTATAATCCTATAATCTGTACATTCTCCCCATCGAAGAAAGCATCAAAAAAAAAAAAAAAAAAAAAAAACTGCGTCCAGACTGGTAAAATCAGTGCCAAATATACAATTTTGTACCTTAGAGAAGCGTCGATTTCGAAGTAGAGTACACCAGAAAGTATGCTATTATAGGATACAGTTGTCTGGTTATGTTTTTTTGACCATTGATAATGTACTGCGCAATAAAAACAATTTCCATGTTCGGCTTCAGCGTCGAATACAGATACAACGCCCATTTATTCGACCCAATTTTGTACTCTACGTATCAGACAGTACAGTACCATGAAAGCACCTTCCTCGTTTCCATTTATCGATTTGTCCTTACACTTACTTATCACCTATGCGTTTTAGCGGTCTGAATTTGCATCAGTAAGCTGTTTTGCAAAACAAGAGTTCTATATCGTGTAAGATGAATTGCTAATAATCTGTGCCCGTCATATACCTCCGTTTCGTGACCAGACAGCTTAGCAATGGTAAAACCACGCAATTGTCACGTAAACACTGCCAACTGGTTTTTACAAATTGAACTTCGCCACGTTTTTTGCCCTGTCAACTTTATCTCACCAAATATGCCTAACAAGCCGAATCCTACTACACAAAACTAAGCCTGTCTAGGCTCGGATTCAAACCCAGACTATCGCGTCTTCGACAAATTTATTAGGCAAACGCATTCAGTGATAACGCGTCACACCATAACAGAGACGCGGAATCCACCTACGTAATTATCATATATGTATGCTTAGCAAGTAACTTGCGGATCAAATATTAGTCAGGAAAGACGCCATTGAAATAGTCTCCTTACGTTTTATAACTTCGATTAAGCGTACATCTAATATGCACTTTCGTAAGAGAAAAACGAAACCAACTCACTAACCAAGCCTGTCGATGAGGTGAGTGCCGGTGCCGAAGAGAGGGTTCAATAGCATTATCTTTATGTTTGAGTTCCATCTTGTAAAAACGACCTTGATACTCCACGAAGTTTTTCTCTTGAACACAAAAACGACTGAAGCCTTGCTTATCGTGTACTGCCTTTGCAGACGAAGCGGTCACGCCGCACTTTTTAAAAATTACGAACATATACAGACAGATCACTCCGAATTGGATCCGCACGACGGACACACTGGCGGTTACGTTTCCTGCAAATCGCTCTACGCTGGTATCCAACTCCGCGAAAGCTAAACGCTGTTTTTAGGTTTTTCTAGTGTATTTCACAGTGCTTGTCATTCACTGTGTAGCAGCTATAACTGATAAGGATTAGCTTTTTCATTAAGGGTTATAGATGCAGAAATTTGACTGAAAGTCTAAGCGATTGAAGTTCCACTCGCTTAACAAGAGTTACGCCGTTCCTAGCTCACAGAAGACAGTCGACGTTTTCCGTGCTGCCTAACTTGCCATTGCAGGCTGGTCAGGCAGACCGGATATTGGTGAAAGATTCTTTGCTGTCATTAGGGCACCATATTCAGGTTTATTTTTACTCGATTCGAGACCAACTGTGACAAGGGGCACGCTGCGTCCACCTTACCTGTCGACACCGAGCGCAGCCTTTGGGCAGCGTTTTAATCTTCGTTATCTTGACTAGCTACGAACGTTGGATCGATGCATTCTACACAAGCCTTACTGGCTAGTTATGGACTGGCAGCTTTGCGTATGTAGACGGTGCGTGCACATAGAGATCAAGGAAACACATGATATTCAGCAACACCTATTAGGCCCTTTACATCCCTGTTCTAGATTTGATTTGCCAGAACGCAAACACTTAAGAGAAAATCAGACTGCCGGCTAGACTTTTAACCATCTGCGCTCGAAAATAACCTGTGAACATAGCTGGTGATGTATCCGATTGGGGCCACTGTGATAATGAGCTCTGATGTTTTTACGTTATAACGGGAGAAAATAAAAGATGTTTCAGAGCGGCACATGGCATTTGCGTCGGATTTAGCGGTTGAACTCACTAGATTTTGTAGTCCTAACCGACCTCGGGGCAAATTTACAATAGTAGTTAATGAAAGCGTTAGGCATGATGATAAAATACAGAAAAAATAGGAAAATCAATTTTTGTCCTTAAACGTTTTTGTCTAGAAACCTTCAACCTATAACGGCGTGCCCGTTATAGGTTTAAGGACTACGTCGCTCACCACTGGGGAACCCAACAAAGGAGCAAAAGAGTGGCACATAAAAATGTACATACAAACTACTGAGAATAAAAGTTTGTCTGAAGCATCTTGGTATGTTACGACTAGCTAAAAATACGTCTAGGGGGACCTAGTGTGATAAACCCTAAACTTGATAAACTTTAGACTATGTGCCTAAAGTACCCTTGGTGCAGACTTGTTCTTAGCTAAATTAAAATCGGGAAGATCAAACATTTTGGACACCTTTATAGATACTTGTTAATATTCAGGGATCATCACTATATACATCTACCTGAATGTCACTTTCCGCTGTCCATCGATTTACTTATATATATATATATATATATATATATAGCAGACTGCAAGTAAAATACTGTGTTGCAAACTAAGACTACTAAGCAGTAAACATCGAGTAATTGTCGCGTCATACTGAATCAGATATACAATACGAGAACCTGTATCGACCATTTAAATTATGATATCAGATTTTATTTTACTAATTGTTTTGGGCAGGCCATGTACTTACTTCATTAACGAACGACTACAGATTTGTCCAACGAATTTGTCACATATTTACATATAGAAAACGCACTCGAATAACAAATTCCATCGCTAGTGCCGATATACAGTGTGCTTCAAATAGCGGAAGCAGAACACGTTCACTGATATTCACGCGGAATCAGCACGTATTAGCCTTCGGGAAGGATCGCTGAGTTGAGAAAAAAAAGTTGGCAATAATCTGAGTATCCGTTGCGTAAGGGCGTTATAAAATTTTTGAAGAAAGTTAGCCGCCTCTAGATAAAGCTTACAGGGACGTTGCTGCTTGAAGACACACCACACTATTGCTTACGGATGTTTAACGATAGGGGTAAACGCAAGCCCTTAAGAATTCGGCATTCTGGCTGTGCTATTTTGTTGCATCAACGGAGAGCATAACTTCTATCGATGAATAGAAGAGTGCCTAAAAAAATTCTGATTCTAAATGAAGAGTTGAAATAACCAATTATTATAACCCATTTATGTCTGATTCTCCTAGATTATGCGGAAGCAGCATGCCAAAGTAAGGTTACGTATATATAGTAACGTTATCATATGACCTTATATTTTGGTTAGTTTGACTACAGTTCTTGATTAATGTACATTTGTTTATTTTTAAACATTTCGCACGCGTAATCTGCATCTTAAAATGAATATTAACTGATGTTCGACAATATTTGTTTCGACCTCGGAAACTGCAAAAAGATCAGGACAATTTCTAAGTAAGGAAATAATAACTCTAAACAAGGAAATAGCCTAATACACCTTCTTAACAACTTTTTTTTTGCCGCAGATAGTGGATTTTTTGTGTTCCAGATTTGGACCCACAGCTGCTTATCATAAACTGTTACATTTTTCACTAAATCCTGTTATCGGGAGACAAAAAACGCTTGAAAAAACACGAGAGAATCGGGACACATTTTTGCTAAGAGGCTGCCCATGAAAACAATGATACAATTATTACCTGTACATAGTATCCGCTGTAATCCGAATCACTTATCACACACGGTTTGCCAAGGTTATCTACCTCAGATCGACGGTCAAAGCAACAGAATTACTTTCGCTTCGTTACTGTCTCAACATTTCACTCTCGAACAAACACGGATTATTCAGTTAGCTACTAAACAGCTTGACAAGCATGCAAAGATATACCAGTCCGCCTACTTTATAGTTCACTAGCGCTCCCCCAATATTGTGGATGTAAATAAACTTTATTAAGAATCATTTTGTGGGTCACAAGACTAAGTAATCTTGCCAGTGTCTCTTGTTCTTAGTCTCTGAGCTACGTTACGGTCTGTAGGCCAGGAATAGGGTCCCCTTCAATACGTGATAGCAAACCCCGAAACTGTACTCTTAGCTGGAATCTGTCACACTTAGCTTTAAACCTTACCACTCCGTGAAGGGCGCTAATAAATCAGACGACATATATACATACAATACTATACGAATGCTCAACGAACACTAAACATTGCTTATGTAAGCCTCACCTTAGACGTAGCAACGATGAAGTCTTCACAGGTCAATACGGTCAATGTCAGGTGGCTGGTATGACATTGAATGGAAATATTGCCAGATCAACAGCTTCTTAGGTTAGCGAAAAGATCTTAACCAGGTGGATATATAGCAAAGATGACCATCAAGCGCCTGACCAAGTCATTGCTTTGCCATATTTACTCAGCTGGAACCATCCCGTGTGTTAAATTGTATCGCTCTATTCAGGCTAGTAGCATCAAACCGCTTTCAGATGCGAATTTTATTTTACAGCTTTTAGTAATACATTTCTAGCAGTGAAGAAGCGCTAAACTACTGCCAGAATCTAAGGCCCGAAGCTAAAAAAAAAAAGGTATAT